TGACAAAGAAATTATCAGTCTATAATTTTAATGGTAGGTTTATTTGAACAGTGAGAGACAGAATAACAACAAAAAAATCCCTTAATGACTTGGAGAAGATCTGCAAAGAGCAGTGGGACAAAATCCCTCCTGAGATGTGTGCAAACCTGGTGGCCAACTACAAGAAACGTCTGACCTCTGTGATTGCCAACAAGGGTTTTGTCACCAAGTACTAAGTCATGTTTTGTAGAGGGGTCAAATACTTATTTCCCTCATTAAAATGCAAATCAATTTATAACATTTTTGTGCGTTTTTCTGGATTTTTTTGTTGTTGTTCTGTCTCTCACTGTTCAAATAAACCTACCATTAAAATTATGGACTGATAATTTCTTTGTCAGTGGGCAAACGTACAAAATCAGCAGGAGATCAAATACTTTTTTCCCTCACTGTATGAATTTCGATCAGATAAGATACCACGCTCTGCTGGTGGGACTCACATAAGACAAAACCAGTTAAAGGTTTTTACTGCTTAAACCCAAGCGGTGGCTGTAATAATTGTTCCAGTGGGCAAATGAGGCTGATGGACTAAACTTTTATTTCATTTGTAAGTGGTGAAAAGGACTCCCTTCCCGTCTGCGTTAATAATATTGTTCATAAATGCATTTCAAGACAAGTTCCAGGATGAAGATCTTGAAACGAAAAACTGTAAGCAAATATTTTACGCGACAACAAATGGTGCCACAAATGTGTTTTTTCTTCCTGTCATTGTGATGGAAATATTAAATCATCATCCGCCATGGTTAATAGAATGTTGGATAAGCCACTGGCACCTCTCACGATAATAAATATTAGAAACATTTGATTGACTTGACAATCAAAACTATCTGCCAATCAACCGGTCGCCAAAACACCACCGCCGCAACCGTCAACAACCACCACCACCGCAGCAACAACAACGACACTCAAAGACGACCGGCAACTACCGGGCAGCCGAGCCCGCAAGGCCAGGTGGCACCGCCCGATCGCGAGCGCCGCCACCGGCGGGCGCTCGGTTCCCAGGCAGTGCGCCACCGCCACTGCCGCCACTGCCGCCACCGCCGCCACCGCCGCCACCACCGCCGCCCTCGGTCGCGCCGGGGGCCCCGCCAATGGAAACTGAGCAATAAAACCCCACGGCAAGCGGAGCAGAAAAGCCGCCGGCCTCTTTGTTGCGCACAATGAGCCGTGCGCTCGCGGGAATTATTGGGCAATGAATAACGGCGTTTTGTCCGGAGACAGCGGGAAAGGAAGGGCCGAGAGGACGCCGCGTACGCGCCGGCGGTGGCGAGGAGGAGCGGATGCTCGGCCTGCTCTAATTGGCTGTCGCCGTGCGGACGGCCGGTGCAATTAGGGGTGGCCACACACACACACGAGCGCGACGCACACAGATGAAGTGTGAGCGTCGCACGGGTCGTCCCTGCTCTTCCCTGCTCCTGCTGTAGCCCCCCACCCACTTCTCCCTGAACCCTCACGATATCCCCCCCCATCCCCACAACCCGCCACCCCCCAAACCTCCATCTCCGTCTCCCCATTCTCGGCTTTCGCCCAATCCGGAAGGTTCCCTCGCAGATCCGAAATGGCCCCGGCGCATCGAAACGTGGCACCATTTACCTCCAAAAAACAACGCAACGTCCCGATGCTGAAAGATTATGCTGCAAATTACTCAATTGGGATCGCGCGCAGCAGCAGAAGCTGCAACATCGGCTGCGTCCGTGAGACACAGCGGCGGTGGTGCCCTCCTTCGCGATCGCCAGCGCTGCGATGACAGTTCTTGCTATTTTGCTCCGACTCGTTCGCCCACCCCCTGAAAAATCACCTGCGGAATTTCTCAACTGGGATCAGACTACAGTAGCAGCAGCAGTAGCAGCAGCAACATCGCCCACAAAATGAGAAATTTGGCACGACCCTCTTGAAGAAGAGTCTCGAGACTCGGCGAGGCCTTGCTGGGTAAACAAGCGTGGCAGCAATCACGAACGTGGGTTTGATGTGTTTTGCGGTGTCAGCATGGATGCCTTGTCGGCGTGTGTGTGACGACATCAGATGTCAGGCTACATTGTAACTCCGTTTTCCCCGCATTATAAGACGCTCCGTAAAGTAAGACAAACCCCAAATCTTTGCCTGGTGTCTTATACAACTATTCTACTAATCTGGTCACACACACCTAGTGGATGATAAGAAGCACCTCAAACTTTTGCGATATAATACGGCAAAACTGCTGTAAGCGTAGCAGGTTTTGCAACGGACGGCACGTGCGTTATAACAGCGTGACTGTCAGCATGTGTGTTATCGTAGACCGTGTGACTGACAGCACAAGCGTTATAAGTGCTACAGGCTGCGACTGACAGTGTGTGCGTTATAGGCATTAAATAGTGTGAATGGCAGCATGCGCATTTATAAGAATTACAGATTTTGTCACCGATAACACGAGCAACACAGGTTGTGCATAATCCCGAGAATAAGCCATCGCTGAAGAACTGTGAAGTGTACCCAACTTCACAGAGCATGTCAAAGTGTCCATCTGGCCGTATGTAATCTGCTGGGATTAAAGTCAACGGTGTCGTAGAACTGGGCCTATGGGCTGTTAAGTTAGAGAGGACAATTACTTTTTGCCGAAAGCACTTACCAAGTCTCCCAGTGCTTCTCAGAAGCACTGTGGTTTTAAGAACACGGGGAAACGACGCAATTTATCCATGCCGATGCTTTGATGTTTTATCAAACGTGTTCACAACAGGCGTAAAGTTGCTACTTCTGTAAACGTATGGCATGCAAGGTCGGGTGAATAAACAAAAAACGATGACAAATCAACAATGGTTTTCCGTTACCGTCACTCGGAGCGCTTTTGAAAAAACTGACCTTGACAATGGAAAGCCACATCCCAGTGAGGCTAATTAAGAAAGTGATCAATCAGCGACTATCGGCTGTTACGGGATGCGGATGAGGAACGCGGTTGTGAAAAAATACATGCATGTTTGAGACATCGTATTGACCGTTAAGAGTGGACTCGAGCAGAGCGCCGTCGCCGGACGGGACGACGATAGCCAACGGCGGCAAACCAAGGAGGGAATACGCCAAAAGAAGACGTCCATCATGGGAATGGGAGTACATGCGTATGTGTGTCCGCTGAAAACTTATTTCGCGCCGTACGTAGCCAACCGTGCTAATCGGAGGTGCCGAGTGACGACATCAGCTCCGGTGTGCGGGTTGCCGGATGAATCTCGACTCGACCGCGAGAGATGGCGACGGGTCGAGGAGGCCTTCACTAAAGCGTGCTAAACCACCGCACCATGGCCGTCAACTAAATTATAAGAGCCTTTCAGAAGGCCTGAATCAAAAAGTTACAGAAAGTGGACCCTCCCCTCAGATGTGGGGGTTAAATGTTGATCCAAAAGTTTCCAAAAATTGTCGAACCCCCACACCCCGAAAAAAACCCCATTATCTTGTCGGCACACCCTACATACAAGTCAGATTTAGCTACACACATTTGGGGGGGGGGAGGAAGAAGAGGACATCAGTAGGGGCGACGAGCGAGGCGCAAAGCGCTGAGAAGCCCTCCGCAGGAGGCAGGATAAGGTAGCTGCAGGCCGCCGATATTCTAGCAGCTAAAAGTACGAACCAGACTCAACCCTGCTCGGGAGGGTGCGTCGGAGCGGGGATTAATTCCAGCTCGGCAACCTGAAAAATATCTCCGCACCCGGCTCACTTCACAAGGTATCCAAGTACACCTCTGGCGATGGCTGTGGCTGCTGCTAGTCACGCGCCACCTCCTCCAGGCCACCGGCGACCCGGACGATCATTTTTGAGAAATTAAGCCCTACGGTGGTAGTAGAGAGTAGGGGAGAATAGAGTGCAGCGAAGAGCAAGGGGAAGGGTAAGGGGGCACAGGAGGAAGGAGGGGGGTGGCTGTTGTCGGTCACAGAGGATCGCAGAGTGGGCAACAGCAGGGGGGCAGCTGGGGGGGGGGGGGACAAGGGCAGCGAGCGTGAGTGCGAGCGAGCGAGCCACCAGCTCGGGCGGCACCGCGGTACGTCGTCACGACCGCCACGTCGCCGCCACGTTTTTCATTTTTCCCAGCACCGCGGGCGTGGGGGGGGGGTCGGGGGGGGGGGGGGGCAGGCCGAGGCAGCCAGCTGAACATTTACATAATCCGGCCGCCGCCGCCGCTGCCGCCACACAAACGGCACACAAGCAAGCAGGGAAGTGACGCCCGGCAGGAGATGGGATCGGCGGCGCGCCGGAATGCCGCGCACAACAAAAAACCCCTCACAGCCCCCCCGGCGCATTCACTCGCACGGTGCCTTTATTTTACCGCACAGGGGTGGCGCGCGGAGACACCTAAATGAGGCCCGCCCCCCCCTTTCACTCCGCAGCGGCGAGCTGAGAACCGTGCGTGCGTGCCCGCCGAGCTGTCAAGGCCGAGAACTTTTCAGTCGTCCGCCCCCCCCCCCCCGGAGGCCGGTGCGCGCAAAAAAACATTGGGCGCCGCGGCGATTTGTTTTGCTTTAGTACGCGACACGCGGAACAGCCGGGCAGAGTGCACGCGGCGGCCAAAGTTAGCGGTCAGCACGAGGCTCGAGTGGTCCCCGTAGTTGTCGGGAGTCTGGCGAGCCAGGCGCACGGACGTCTGCCCGTCAACTCGCGTCCGCTCGCCCCGTGGTCGGGGAGACCCTTCGAGCGAGAAGACCTCCCCGACACCCTCACCACCACCCCCCCCCCCGCTCGCGCCGCACGGAGCCAACGGATGGATGAATGACGGCGATCGTTTATTTTTTTTTACTTTACACGGGTGGGGGGCGGGGGGGAGTGGAAGAAAAATTAGCGCGGCAAAAGCGTGCCAAGCGAAGCTGGCGCAACTTCTCTGCCGGGGGGCTCTGCCAACTTCAACCCCCGCCGCCCTCCACCGCCTCTCTCTCCGCCAAACAAAATCCCAATGTCGACAAAGAGAGATTTCTCACCCCGCGCGATCCCCACAACGCTGTACTCACGTTGGGCGGCGTTTTCTTGAGAAGGACGAGCAGCGCCTGCAGCACCAGGTTGGAGAAGCGAGGGCCGATGGGAACGTAGTCTGCCAACGACAGCCAACCCCCGCTCGGTGTAAGCTACGCTGTTAGCGAGCGCCTATTAAGGGCGGCGAGAACCACGCCCGGCCGTCTGTGCCTCTCCAAAAGGGCCTCAGGACCGATTCAGATATTCACCACCGATTCAGATATTCACCACCGACGTCAACCGTGACCGGGAATTGAACTCAGCTTTCCGGGCTCGTAGGGCTTGTACACGTACCTACGCGCGTGTACAAGCAAAAGCATGCACGCACGAAGTTATCATCTCCCCAGATACGCAGGGCAAACCTGGGCGCCGTGAAAAGAGATTTCCACCATGGGTTGGAAGGCAGCTATGGGGAAGAGCGGCAGACAGGGTACAATTCTTTATCTGCGGAGTTTCAGATGATGCCAATTCAAGATGAAACAACTGCAAAGGCTCCTGCCCACATGACACGAGGGCACTGAGTGGTGTTTGTCAATAAGGCTGCGCCTTGCTGCTGAAGCCACTGAAGTTGAAACCAGTCGAATTATTTAAATGTTTAATAAACAAGTGGAAACATGAATCTTGTACAGGGTTCATTGGCCAATGAATTTGAAGATACTCAGTTGCCTTTTTTATGCCACGTACACTGCCGATGCGACATGTACCGGCTCATAGCCGACAGGTGGCATGTGTTACGGAGAAGGAGGTGGTGGTGCTGCTGCAGGTGGTTGGTGCTGGTGATAGTGGTAAAAGTTATTTTGGTTGTGGAGGTGCTGCTGCTGCCAGTAGTGATTGTGATTCCATGGCTAGTGGTGCTGCCGGTGCTGGTGATAGTGGTGGGGCTGCTAGTGGTGCTGGTTAAAGTGGTCCTGGTGGTGCTATTGCAGATGGTGATAAGTGGTGGTGCTGGTGATAAGTGGTGGTGCTGGTGATAGTGGTAACAATGGTACTGTTGATAATGTTGGTGGTGCCTGCTGCGATGGTGATGCTGCTGTCGCTAGTGATCGTGGTAGTGGTGCTGGTGGCGAAGTTGATGCTGCTGCTGCTGCTGGTAGTGGTGGGTGCTGCTGCCATTGCCGCTGGTGTGGACGGTGGCGGTGAAGGTGGCGGCTGCAGCCCTTACCCAGAAGCCTTTCGATGTCGTCCACCACCACGCAGCTCAGCTGCGACTTGTACGCGTCGTCAAAAGTCTGCAGGCCGCAGCAAGACAATGTCAGTTTTATTTACAGTGACAATCGCGCTTTAAAATGGGCACGAGAGAGAGAGAGAAAAAAACCCCAAAACAAAACACAAAGGAGAAGATGGGGGAAAAAACGGAAAGACACGAAGCAGGTAATCTCTTGAGAAAATGACTACGAGCCACTAATAACTCGTTTCAGCGGAATAATCTGTCTCAAAATGAGTGGCGTAATGAGTCTTGGCTCAGACCCGGCGCTTTGTGGCCAAACGCACGACCCTGGGCGCTCGCGCTCTACAAAATTACCGATGTTATCTCGCGCTGCCTCGCCATTATTAATAGTTATCTCTAACCTGGGCCAGCAAAACAAGCGTCCCGTCGCACGACGCGTGGCCCGCTGGGTGGGTGACGTGGGGGGGCCGGGGGTGGGGGGCGACGGAGGAGGAGGGGTGGGGCCGCGGGTGAGTGGCGACGCAATTTAATTTTGAAAAGCGGCCACCTCATGCGCGCGTTTCCCTGCCCACGTGGAGTTTATGGGAGAGTGGCAGTGATTGATAAACGCTTTGCAGTGGGAAGGCGAGCGAGCGGATGGGCAAGTACGCAAGTTGGTGGGTGGGTGTATAATCGGGAGCCTGGGTGAGTGCATGAGTGGGTGAGTATGTAGACACATGATTGGATGACTGCATGAATGACTGAATTTTGTGAACAGTAGGTCCACAACTAAAAGGAGTTGGTGAATGTGTGTATAATTGAGAGTGTGTGTAAATGCATAACTGACCGAGTACATGCATGTGGATGGATAAGTGGGTAGGTGAGCGTGTGAGCGAGTAGGTTGATAACCGAGACAGTTTGGTGGATGCATAAGTGAGTAGGTGGATAGGCGAGCGTGTGGTTGATTGCATGAGTGGGTGAGCATCTACGCACTCCTGTATATACGAGCGAGTTGCACGAGTGATGGCACCAGTGCAGAGGTAAGCGCATGTGCAGTTGTGTGCACGGCGGAGTCTGTAGACAAGTGGGCGAGCGAGTGAGCGAGTTGGTGCGTCAGACAGCTGGTAGGTGAGTGTATACATGAGCGAATAATTGGTCAACAGCTGAGCTAGTGAGCAGGTGACTAAAACATGTTTTACAGTGGATGAGTGAGTAGGTGGGTGATGGCGTGAATATGTAAGTGCATAAATGGGTGAGTAGGTTACTTAGCAATTGAGTGAGTGGGTAAGTGCACGGCCGAGTGCGTGAGTTAGTGAATAGGTATGTAAGTGGGTGGATGAGTGAGTGATAAGGTGAGTAGGTTGATGAGTGATAGGGTGAGTGTGTTGATGAGAGAGATGGTGAGCCGGTGCATTAGCGAGTGAATTGGTGATCAGTTAGCGAGCAAAGTGGGCAAGTAGGCATATGTACGAGTGGGTGAACAAGCGATTGAGTGACTAGGCAGGCATGTGATCAAGCAAGAGGAATAGTGAGCCCGTGAGCCGTGAGTGGGTGCGGGCATAAAAGGGGCAAGTGAGCGGTTACATAAAACATTAAGTGGTTGTGTATGTGGGAGGGTGGTGTGTGTGGGCGACTGAGTAGACATGTACACAAATGGGTGTACTGGCGAGCGAGCGGGTGGATAAGTGGCTGAGTGGGTGGGTGGGTGAGCAGTTTGGCAAGTGAAATGGCGAGTGGTGTACGATTAAGCGGGTGACCTGAGTGGCTGACAAGTAGATGAACGGGTAGGCGTCTGTACGAACGGGTGTCATTGCTAGTGGGCGGCTAAGTGGGCGAGCGAGTGGGGGTTGACAAGTCAAAGGGTGAGCAGACGCGCGAGCGGTCGACAAGGTCAGCGAACGGGCGAGCAGATAGGTTTGGGCGAGCGGTTGGATGAGCGACCGAGGGATCGGGCAGCGTGTGATGAATCGAGATCGTGCGTTCGATCCACCTTCTTGATGGCCTGGCACTTGGCGTTCTCCGAGAAGCCGATCATCTTGTCCGGGGAGCACAGCTTGATGAAAGGGAAGTTGGACTTCTCGGCAATTCGCGCCGCCAGCGCCGTCTTGCCGCTGTTGGGCGGGCCTGCCAGACGCACGCACAAACGGGAATACCGCCACGTCCGTTAATGACCGCCGGCACCACAGCTGTCGCGACGGGCTGGGCCGCGCGACGCGCACGCTCAATCGACCGACCGAACGAACGAACGAGGGGACGCACCGCAGTGAGCAACCGCGACAACGGATGTCGAGCGAGCGATGCGCGCGATGCGTGCTCGACACCGCCGTGACCGGGTCACCCGGAATGAGGCCAATCTCGACGGATCTCAAGACGCCAGGAGGCGGCGACAGGCTGGACGGCGCCAGAACGGGCGACCGCCGGGCATGATTTAGGCTGCCATAGGCTGCTGCGGGGCTGCGGCGTGGGCGGCAGATGGCAGCGCAGCAAATTTTTTAAAAATATATCATTGTTGCGCTGAATTCCACGCCTCTGGGTTTACGCTCCGTAACCTACGGCAACCGGCACTGACCGGCGTAGGGAAATACGGTCAAATAACACGTTGAACCCACAAGGCGTGGAGGCCCTCATCCAGCAGTGGAGTGACGCAGGGCTGCACGTTTAAAGACGTAAATTACGGACACGCGGAGGCACGTGTTATGCAGACACGCACACGTTTGCACATACAGTGCACACATCTGCCTTTAATAAATTATCTCGTAAGCCTCCAAAAGTCGGTATGTCTGACTCGCTCAGAAACCACAAATCTTCCTTACGGCCAAGTTGGTCGAAACATAATGAGATAGAATAACCAAAAAAACCCTAGCAATGCAGGGAACACAATCAACAACCTTCAGTCAACTTCCGCCGAACGGGAGGTCCCCCCCTCCTCCCTCCTTGTCATGTCGGTGACCCAGGTCACGCTTGCAAACGACACTCCTCTATGCTGGCCTCTTGAGCCCTCACCTGGGTTGAACGTAATAAACTTGAACTTTAAACAACTGCTGTCCTTTCCCCTCCTCGCGTCCCTTGGCACGGCAGCCTTTTCGATTCCTCCCTCGAATTAAAAAAAAAAACAACCCCACAATGCAACCCTGATCGCGCTGTTGAATCAAACGGGGACCACGGACAGCCCTATTTGCAGGAGTGACCTCGGGTATCAGTCTGCCAGTGGGGAGCGGTCGTTCCTTTTGTACAGTCCCAATTGAGTAACTCGTTCTCTCTACCAATTTTCCAAATGTGGACCACGACGCAGGCGCACAACGGCCTACTCTTTTGCGAACGACATCAAGGGGGCGGGGGGGGATCTGTAACGGCCGCTGCGCGAAGCAGACATCGTGTATTATACGGCGAGTACACACCTGCAGAAATTCACCAGGGTGGCCAGTCGGTTTCGAATTGCGCCGAACGCACTACCCGCTGGGCCGCGTCACCACTCAAGTCCAAACGTGACATGTACCGGTATGTTAATACATGCGCTAGTATGTAACAAGTGCGCCGGTACGCAACACGTCCACCGACCGGGCTTAGAGAGGACACGCGCATACCCCGTGCGTACGCAGAAACGCCGACACTGTACAACGGATACTCGATACCTGAATCGCTGCGAAGATACCGGCAGTGACATGCTAGATAAAGATCGCTTCATTAAATTATTTGTTTACGATCAATGGGCGGCTTTGTCTATATCGCCGCGTTTCAAAACCGTTCTCCGCGTTTTCTGCCGGAGGTGGTGGTGGCGGCGGTAGGGGCCAGCACGAACCCACACGCCCCACGCGCCACCTTTGTCTCCGCCAACTGGCGATGTTCGCGACCACATCGTGGCCATACCAGGTATATATTTCACACCGAGGCGAGCTATAGCTGAAGCCCAGGTTAGGATTGTAGCGAATTCCGATCGCCGGGGTCGCAGGAGCAGCGAGTGGCTACACCACCGCTTCTCGTGCACACGTTTTCCCCATGCGTGCTCTCGCTCGTTGTTGTATCGCTTGCGGTAGATTTTAAAACGCTCACGTTTATTTGTGCAACGGGTAAATGTTGGACGTTGGTGCTGACGTGCATATATGTATGGGGAGCGGTAGTGTAGCCGTTTAGCGTGCTGCACTATTAATCTGGCCACCCGGGCACGATTTCCGTTCACGGCCAACACCAGTGACGATTATCTGAACCGGTCCTCGGCATCCCCAAGGTCGACTGAGCCTCAAATGAATATCTGGTACGGTGTGTAAGCATCGCCACTGGGGGGACAAAGGCGGTCGGGCGTGGTGCTGGTCACCCACCCCCTTGTGTGCCGTGCCGGCCTTCAGAGGTGCTCGCTAATAGCACTTGCCCTAACAGTCTGTTAAGGCGATACGGGGGATCTTTGTGTTTGTCTTTTATGTGTATGCACAAACCAGAAACCAGATGCATATCGGTGCGTTTACAGTGATACAGTATATAGGTATAAGTGTGTGCATCCATCTGCCCACTTGTCCATTTATATGTCCATCAGTCCATTCGTCCATTTGTCTGTCTGCCCACCCATCCATCCGTCCATCTTTCCGTCCTTCCGTCCATCCATTTGTCTGCCCACCCATCTGTCTGTCCGTCCGTCGGCATGCCAACCCACCCGCAGACGCGCACACACGCACACACGCACGCACGTGCATGCACACGCTGAGAGTTTCAGTCGTCAGTCGGCAGCGAGACGTGAAACCGCGTGTCATCTCGCGACGGCGCACGTCGTCGCTGCGCCACCCGTCCCCGCCTGCCCGCCCGCCCACGCGCCCACCCACCCACCCACCCGTCCCACCCCGGATCGCCGGCAGCGTGGCCGCTGCGTCAGCAGGGGGGAGCGCGTTTCCACCAGGCTCGGCGCAGGGCAGATTTTCGCGTGGGAAACGCAAAAGGGCAGTGCGTCCAGAATACAACGGCGTCGCAAGATGCTTTACGGGAGAGGGAACCACAAGTTGTGTGAAACTGTGAATGAAAAGGGGGTCACAGGGAGCCGATGACAAAAGATGAGGGTGTGTTACGGGGCAGTACGAACGTCTCGCCAAGGAACTATACGTCGAACTCCTGCGCGTTCCCTCTTTTGGCCGCCCCTCCGTCGTTAAGACTCTACCACCGGCCATCATCGCTTCTAGCGACGCGTCCTGCCCAAGCAAACTTTACTTATCCCAGAAGTCCACGATCAGGTGTCCACAAACCCGCGTGCGCCCGTTACGTCGCGTCAACCCAGCGTGACGACTTAATACGAACGATCTAAAAAAAGCGAGCGCAATTCCCGTAAATCACCGTTGCCAGTTTGCTCGCGACTCCGCTCCGTCGCTAACCGACCCCCGAGGTGGTTTTTGGGTGGGGGTTTTCGGAGGCGGGAGGTGGGGGAGGGTGTCGTGTCGTGGGCGGCGAGGGGTGGAGGAAGCAGGTTGATGCCCAGGTGCATCGTTTTACACGCACGGCCCGTGTTTCGCAAGTTCCCCGTCCGTCTGTCCGTCTCGTCCGTCCGTCCGTGCAATCGTTCGTCCGCAGGCGACGCCGGTCGGATAATTAGCGCTTCGTTCCAGAGGGCGAGCGCGAGGGAACGCACACACGAGAGAGCGAACGCACACGCGCGTGAGCGAGCGACAGCCGCCGTGCAACCGCGCACCAAGCGGCGGGGTCTGGGAGCGCAGGCGAGGGCCATCAAGAGCTTCATTGTGGCCACTATCTTCACCATCAATCTACAATCTGTCAGGGCCAGCGTGCTTTGTCAGCCCTGTCACAGCAAGTAACAATTAGTTTTAATTAAATTCTATCCCGTGCTGCGGCAATAAGCGATGCTACGTATTGATAGCATCGCCGCTGTGTTGGACTTATTACGGGACGGCCGCCGCACGTGTATATATATTTTTCTTAAACAAACTGGGATTGTGACAGCCGAACGGTTGACGTCACTGCAGTCACATTTTTTCCGACGCTCTAAGTGCACTTAAGCGGTCATAAAATGAAACGCTACTGTACAGCACGACCTAGTGTGGATGTGTATACACGCAGCGTCCAAATGCACACTTATCTCAACGCGCTGCACAGGAATGGTGGGCATAGTTATTCTGTACAGGCTGTCTGGCATAGGTCTCGACGCAAAACTATGGGTCTCTACCTGAGTCTATGGGTCTCTACCTGAGTCTATGGGTCTCTACCTGAGTCTATGGTTCTCCACGTGATTCTATGGGTCTCTGTGGTGTGACCTGCGACGCGGTGGTCGAGTGGCGAAAGCGGGGATCGCAGCGACTCGGGTGCGACGAGCAGCCCCCGGCGCCAGCGAGCACGCTCGACATACCCGCCAGCAGCACACGGACGAGCCGTGCAAGGCGATTCGTATTTAGGGGTGGTATGGGGCACAGCTAGCATTCTCGTGACGCCCAGCGCGCGCGTGTGCCGTACCCGCCAGCAGCACCCTTAGCTAGTGGTAAAAGGGTGAGCGATGAGTGTCTAACGCCAGCACGTGCGAGAGCCGTACCCACGAACAGCCCTCTTAGCTAGTGGTGTAAGGCGAGCAGAGTGTCTGGCACCAGCGCGCACGAGCGAGAGCCGTATCCAGCGAGTAGTGCTCTTGGCTAGTGGTGCAAGGTGAGCGATGAGTGTCTGGGGCCAGCGTGCGTGAAAGCCATACCCAGCGAGCAGCACTCTTGATCAGCGGTATAATGTCAGCGATGAGTGTTTGGCGCGAGCGAGAGCCGTACCCGCGAGCAGCACGCTGACGAGCGGCGTGCGCTCGCTCATCTTGGCCTGCTGCACGAGCAGGTCCCCGTCCTCGAGCACGCGGTGCACCGGCTCGCCCCAGTTCACGATTCCATTCATGATGTAGCTCTGGTAGTCCTCCGTGTTGGTGCCGAACGCCTGCGACGGGCATGCGAGCAGGAGGGAGTTGCCCCCGGCGAGAAAACAATAAAAACAGCTCTGATCTTGGAACGAAATGATCGAATGAACAAGGTTTTACATTCGTGTAGTCATTGAGCCCACTGGTTTTCCAGACTTGTATTTAGCCAGGAGGTCGAAACTGCTCCACGGTCAGTATGTTTCACATGTACTTTGCCACGCTGGACAGGACTTCCTATGCCAGACAGATCTACTGCTGTGCATTTCAACTCAAAGATGTCATCTTGACATTCTTGTAGTGACGTTGACTTTCCCCGCTACAATGGATATCACACCTTGGTTACCGGTCAGGGTCCGTTGTGGGTCTGTGACCTCAAAGCTCACTGTGGACTAATTTTATTTCACAGAGTGTGTCGGTCGAGGCACAAGATGAACTAAATATTACCATCTCCTTATTCAGACGGGGTTTAGGAGTTTGACGCCGATGACAACCACCGTGACGACGGGCCACATTGGAAGTTTTCTATCATCTCATCTTGTTGTCAGGTTTCGTTGCGAGTTTTATTCTCATTTCAGATTCAAGTATCGTGATTATAAGTGGGGAAACAACAGGGTCACCAGACAGATACAAATATCTCCCATATCTCCTTAAGAGACTGTTGGGGCAAGTGCTGTTCATGAGCACCTATGAAGGCCGGAAAAAGTGGCAATGTTTAGACATCGCACCAGGTACTTTTATTTGAGGCCGAGTCGACCTAGGGGAGGCCCAGGACCGGTTCAGATAATCGTCACTTGTGTTGGCCGTGAGGGGATATCAAACTCAGATCATCGGGTTTGTAGTGCTATCCACTACACTGCCACACGCAAGTTCTGTTAGCGAGCGCCTATGAAAGCTGGCACGGCACACAAGGGGGTGGGGTGGCCAGCACCACGCCCATCCGCCTTTGTCTCCCCAACGGCGATGTTTACACACCGCACCAGATACCACACACACACACGCGCGCATGCTGTGACAAGGTGAAGCTACGAACCCCCGCAGTGCCCGTGTGCACTTACGGGCTTAATGTCGCTGTCCAGGGCTCCCAGGAAGTCCTCCCGCGTCACCTGGAGCCGCTCCGCCTTCTCCATGTCCACCTCCACTTTGGTGGTCGCCTGTTGGGCACCGTGCACACGTCGCACACACGTCATTACTAAAACTAAACTATTTTTTTTTTATTTTACAAGGTAAAACCCACTTAAACTGTATGGCTCTTTTTTTAGAAGCGACCTGGCCACAAATTGATATCTCAACAAAGATTGCTCATCGTGTGGAAATTTGTAGCAGCCGAATACTCTAAAAGCGTGTTTCTAAATGTAGAGGGAAAAACTGGAGGGCCCGGAGTAAAACCCAGGCGACCACGGGGAGAGAGACACGCAAACTCCAAATATACAGCAGCAGCAGGCGTCGGGATCGAACCCAAAGCCTCCTGTATACCAGGCGAGGTAGTTAACATCTCCTAGCCACCTTGGCGCCCTTATGCCGATGCCCTCTGCCGAACCGCGCCAGGTCTCGCTGATCGTGCCATTTTTCGGAAGCTAAGCCAGTGAGCCTGATAAGTACATTGGATGACTTACCACTTCTCTCCAAACTTTTGGGTGAGCCCTCGTTTTTTAAAATCAATTTGGTCGATTTTCAAGAAGGCACGCTCCCGAGTAGCAACACAGCTTTATAATGAAGTTTGCTCGTACCGGATCATCTGTAAGAGAGATATCATTGCCCCCCCACCACACCACACCATGACCCCCCCTGCCCCATTACGGACAGCCAGACAGAGATGATGACGGAACGTTTTCAACCTCAGTTGGATCAAAGACTTTTGGTGATTACACAAACCCGGATGAAGCGAACGGACGGAGCTAATGCATAACACAAATCCTACCTACTTCCTGCGGGGGGCCGTGGCACGCATCGGCAGCCAGCACTCGCAGTTCATGGTGGTGACCGGCACCGGCGGTTGGTTACCTTGATGTGGCGGTTCATGGCGGTGGACTGCGCGGCCCTCACGAGCCCCTCCAGCTCGGCGCCGCTGAAGTTCTTCGTCTCCACCGCCAGCTCGTTGACGTCCACGTCGGACGCCAGCAGCCCGTTGTCACGCATGCGCGCCGTGTGGATGTTCAAGATCTGGATGCGGCCCTTATTGTCCGGGAGACCTGGGGGAAACGAGAGTGGGCCGGCGCGGGATGTCGTGGGTGGGTGGGTGGGGGGGTAGGAGGTGAATGCAAGGGACCGTGCGTGCAAGAAGACACAACAACAACGTTAGGTGACTATGACAATGTGAAGTACGGCTATCGTAACGTGACTATGAACGGAGGACAAATCACAAAATCCTCATTTGGTCCTCGGCTAGGAACAGGTTCTCCACCCCAGTCGTCGATTTTCTCTCTCCTTGTTGCGTTAGCCAAACAAACAGAGGACCACAGAGCTTGGGTTCAGGCTGCTCTCCCGCTTAGTCTGCGGTTTCCCACGCCACCGTACGATAAAATCCCCGTTGCGCGACACAACTTCTACGGTGCACTGAACGACGCGGCGTTAAAATAAAGCGTTTGTTGTTGCCGATGATCGCTACGTGCAGCGCAAACACGCACGAGCGGTGGGGAAAGGTCAAACACGCGCGACGTCCCCACCGATTTCCATCTTGACCTCCAGACGCCCCGGTCGCAGCAGAGCTTCGTCGATGAGGTCGGGGCGGTTGGTCATTCCTGGAGGGGTGACACGCGGCACAGGAGCGGGGGGGAAAGGTGAGGCCAAGGTGGCGTCGTCGGAACGGGTTTCTCAACGTTTAGTGCGGCGGTTGAAGGCCTCTCCACGCCGTTCAGTCATGGTGGGGTTGGGAGGACCATACACAAGTGCGCTAATCACTGTACCACCGCTCCACCACAGGCACATCCGGATAGCCAGGCACACAAACATACACAGCACCACGCCCGGGCCCACGTGTCTCCCCAGTGCTGATGTTGACGCATCGCACCATGTGCTCATTTAAGGCCGAGTCGACCGAGGGTGCGTGCCCCAGGACCAGTTCAGACATCGGTCACCGATGTTGGCTGTGATTGGGGAATCCAACTCAGGTGGCAGGGCTTCGCAGCGCATTGCGCCAGCCGTTACACTGCCATTCCCCAAACATGCGGGCACGTACGCACGCACGCACGCACGCACGCGGGGATAAACTCTAGTTTGGTTTGGGTCGCTCGCTGCCAGGGTGCCGGGTAAATCTGGAGTGGCGGATGGAGCAGCGGGGGGGGGGGGGGGGTGGCCCCATCAATCTCGCGACAAAGCGGCAAATTCCAGGTAACAGCGACATAATGGGGAGTTAAATTAAATATTTCCCTCGCTGGCTGCCGGCTCCTAGACCCGATATCGGGCGCGGGGTTTTTTTTTTCCAAGGCGCTGCTCGGCCGAGTGTGAGGGGGATGCCTTGTGCGCGCCCGATCAGCCAGTCACAATCTCTCGCCACCCGGGGATCGCCGACACAAAGGCGCTGGGCGTGGAGGACAGGGGTAACGGTGGCGTTCACAAAGGGGGATAAACGCGATTTCGTACGCCCATTTCTGGAGTTCGGAGCAATTTTGAAAGGGGGTGGAAGGACGCCCGTACCCCCGTAACCCCCCCACCACTCCCAGTCTCCTGGCTACAGAGTCATTAAGGGAGGGAATGATGCGGTTTATGACCGGCAAAAAAAAAGCCCGCCGATCGCATTGGCCCGCAGCAGAAATTCAATTACGCTTTAGGCGGTTGCGGGCTGGGCTTGGGCGAGCGATGGAGAGGTTGCTCATTCATTCATTCCAGCCGCATTGTCCACGGACACAGTGCGCTGGGTTCCACCGACAGATTTGGTCACGTGGATCAGCAACGAGGAAGAGTGCACACAAGTGCACACGCGCACATATGTATAAGAGTTTACAAATGGCAGTGAAAAAGGAAAATTTTGATTCCAACTTAATTAACAGCGGTAAAAAAAAGAAAGTAAAAAATTTTGCCGCCGGCAGTCAGGCTGCGGTGACGAGACGGGGAAACACAAGTGGGCAGAAATCTTTTGTCGTCCTATCTGGGTGTTCGTCATCCAAGAGCGTCGGTGAACTGGGATAAGTTGGACGAGGTTTAAAAATAAATGAACATATGTTAATACCCTCTATCACGATCACAACTTGCTCATGTTCATGTGCGCGTATGTACGTATACAAATATGTGCTCACAAACAACCACTAATCCAGTCACATTTACGCACACACTCGCACGCATGTGCTCACATGTGCGACACGCTGCGCTAAACCATGAAGACCCCGAAAAACCCATCTCTTGGCAAATCTTCCCCTATCTCCACTACCACCGGACGGACTTCCCACCAACACTAACACCAGCACCACTGCCACCACAACAATAACACACACACGAGACGAAATAATCGCGACGCATTTCTACGTCTCAGTAGTTTACTGGAAGCACGACCTTGGGGCTACGCGGGGTGGGGGAAGGAAGCAAAGTGGTGCTCATCGCGCGTCGCCCAAACTCATAACCGGGGAGGGCGTAGAGGCCAAGACGGCATCGGGGCCCCCGTCGACGGCTCCGCCGAGGCGAGCGCGCGTGCGCGAGACCGGGTTCGCGGGACTGCTAATGCGATTGAGTGTGCCCGCTGAAGGGTAAGACAAATTATTGTGACGGATGAGCCAAGAGCTGGACGGCAGCCACCTCGCCCTCTAGGCACCGCGCGCGGCACGCAGGGAACTTGGCTGGGAGCGGAGCTGCGACTGACGCAGAGCTGCGGTGTTACCCCGCGCCCAGCCACCGCCGCCGCCGCCGTCGCGCACACTGCTGAGATTTCGCCAAATTCTGAGAAGTGGTGGGACGACGGGCGAGTATGCGGGCGGGCGGGCGCGCGAGCGAGCGGGCGTGCGAGCGGGCGGGTTTGAGCCAGCGTCTAAAAAATGCCAGAGCGGGTATCGTGGGACGTGCAGATGGGTGAAGCGTGCGTGCGTGCGCACATGAACCTGTCCCATGCGATGGGAAGCCGCAGTCCCAGGCACGCACGAGAGTGTGTGCACGTGTGACGCGGCACGAGCACAGGAAGGGGAAGATGAGCATCTGCCGCTTGTTGCAGATGATTGTGGTTCGAATCCAGGAGGCCACCATGGTTGTTACAGTGGGCGCATTAAGCGGAACGCACGCCTCCGTCCGGTGACATAGCTTCAAGTGCTGGCGTCAGTGTCCAAAATTTTGCCAAATTCGAAAAATTGCATGGCCAACTACTCAACTGGGATCACACACAGCAACATCGCCGCCTTCACCCCACACCTCGTGCTGTCAAACTACCGCATCTGCAAAAAACATAGCAAAGCATTCCTTACGCGACAGTTTTACAAACGATAGGGCCAATGCCGAGCGCGCGGAACTATTATGAATACTTGTGACTCTTAGCGCCCACCGATGACGAGGATGTTGTTGAGCTGCTCCACTCCGTCGATCTTGGAGAGGAGCTGGTTGACGACCGTGTCGTGCACGCCCGTGCTGCCGGCCATGCTGCCGCGCTGCTTGCAGATGGCGTCGATCTCGTCGAAGATTATGATGTGCAGGCCGCTGTTGACGCCGCACTGATCGCACCGGCGGTGGCGTGAAGGTGGGGTTGGGGGGGGTTGGCGGAAAAGACTATATCAATACAACGAAACAAATTAGAAAAACAACAGACCTCGCCACGCTGATTAAAGTGCGGGTTGGTGCATAGGGAGACCCGAGACCGAGCGTGGGAAGATCATGATCATAGGATCGGTCCTTCCATTGCGCCCTTCTCATGTCACGTGACATCACGAAACTCTTTTGCCGTTGTTTTCTGCTCTAACACCTGTGAGACAAGGCTGCAAAGGCGGCTGTTCCTGGTGTAGGCCAATCTGTTTCAAAGCCAATGCATATACTATCATCAAAGCATCTTTGTTTGCATGTTTAACCACAAGCATGATGTGTGGTTAATGCACACTTGATGCCTTGCGATTTGTGTCTATTGGGTGTTTGGACATCTTAACACCTCCTGTATTTTGATTTAAAGCTTTCGTGACTGCAGTAATTCATATTCTTAGTTTTTTCGGTAAAGTCACGTTGAAGAGAAACAACAAAATAACAAAATATATATAAAACAATAAAAAATTCTCACGACGTTTCGACCATAACTCAAACGGTCATGACCGTTTGAGTTATGGTCGAAACGTCGTGAGAATTTTTTATTGTTTTATATATATTTTGTTATTTTGTTGTTTCTCTTCAACGTGACTTTACCGAAAAAACTAAGAATACCTCCTGTATTATTACCGGAAAAAGTAAAGCCTATTATTTTTGCATCACTCTGTGTATACTGCGCACAGCTAAGGTTTAAGACCATCAACTCAAAAGTCAAAGTTGCGGCAACATTTCATCCACCAGCAGGACGATGGGATATCTCAATACCTGTTTCGTCGTTGTCGTCTGGAATGATCTTCCTTCCGATATCAGAAAGCCACTGGAACTATGCACTTTAAAATGTTCTTCTTTCGCACCGTACGTAGCCTACCCTGCTAATCGGAGATGCAGGGGAAGGACAACAAACTAAACATAAAAAGGAGTTAAAAAGAAATAAGCTTTCAACCTAGATGATTTGAAAGTGCAGTGCTCCAGTGCAGTGCTAACATCGGACGGAAGAGCATTCCAGACGGCTGCACTGTCATTGGCCACATCAGAAAATGGGAACCCAGAAAGCTACGCCGCCACCCCTGGTGAGGCTGGCCCCAAAGAGGGAGAGATATCCGGTCTGGCCTACTCAGGACCGATTCTCCGAAGGTGCGGGTCGGACCAACCCGCTTCTGCTCGTCCTCCGCGTCGGCGAACAGCTTGCGGATGTTGGCCTCCGACTCGCCCACGTATTTGTTGAGAACCTCGGGCCCGTTGACGATCTTGGGCTCGCGCGCGTTGAGCATCTTGCCGATCTGCCGCGCCATCAGCGTCTTGCCGCAGCCCGGCGGCCCGAACAGTAGGATGCCCTTCACGTGTTTGCACCCTGCGCGCGCGTGGTGAGATGCGGCGGGGGTGGGGGGGGAAGTGTGGGACACCGGTGAGCGTGCGCGAGGGTACACACACCGTGCGAGAAACTCGTACGGGAAAACTGTGCACGAGGATTGACGTTACAGCAGACGAGGAGTTTCATCCAAGTAACCCCCCCTCCCCCCCTATAATCCGGAACTTCCTTGCCACCAGCGGTCCGTGCTGTCCATTCCCTGCCCTTGCTCAAGTCCAGGCTCAATAACCTCTCGCTTTCCCTCTGCCTATCCCCGACTGCTTCTCTCCCTCTCTCCACACCGTGGTGGGGATCTAAACACACTCGCCCATCGTTTCCAATGCCGCGCTGGGAGGTCAAACTAACCGGCGACCTCTGGATTGCAAATTCAGCGTACCACCATATTCTACAGATTATAAGATGCATGTTCCCCCCCCCACGCCCCCCCCGGTGTGTTTTTAAAGCAAATGTTTGGGGTTGCGTCATATAATCCAGTTGGTATGCGAGTGGTGTGTGGTGTGGACCAATCAGTTTCAAAGACAATGCATATATTATCAGAGACTGTTTTTTGTTTGCATGTTCACCAAAAGTACGTGTGGTGAATGCAGACAGGATTCCTTGAATAAGGATTTTGTTTGGTGTTTTAACATCGACACCTGTTTTATTGCCAGAAAGGGTAAAACCTATTGTCATATTTTAATACTGGCAAGAAAGATCCCATATTGGTGTGTGGTGTCTATGTGTAACAACTTCATTGACACCGGGTGTAAGTTTGGGGTGCGTCTGACTCTCTTACGGAGTGTCTTACTCAATAATCTGGAGAATAGGGCAGCATCCCCACCAGAACGGTGGAGTGGTTGACTCAGCGGGGTTGAATCGGCCCATCATCAAACTGGGGTCGATTAAATGAATTACCGTTTTGTGGGAAAGGTCATTCATTGGTCGTCCTACTGACGAGAATCGCCACCGTCATAGGAATGTGGCATTTCGACCACTGGCTCTGCAGGGCTACAAACAGGGAGATGAGCAATGCCGCAATGCTCATTTGATGCTCATTTGAGCAGGAAATCACTTAAGGCTTTTTTTATAAGCGGCGATGGTGGCGGCTGCAGGAACCGGGATAAATTGGCACACAGCAGGTCAGCTGTTAAGCCGCTAGCCGAACGGCATGGCGTGCACCGAACGGCCAAGAGCACCGTGCTCGCCTTTACAAACAACAACCGGCAAAACACGCGGCAGACAGCGGCAGGCCCGGGCAGAGAGCCGCTCCTCAAGCTTTTTTGGCAAAATGTTTTTCTCTTTTTTTTTTGCGCCGAGATAATTTATTAAATCTCGACTTAATTATCGTTTGGCCCCGAGCTACAATGAGACACGGCGGTGTCTGTCATTGAAAAATGCCAGAAATCTGGACGAGCTGGCTGACTCCTATCGAAGCCTGTCGGGACAATGTAAGAGAGAGATCTTTTGGCTTCGCGGAGCAGAGATATCCAGCCAGATAATGTGGTTAATAAATAAATTACAACCGATTGAATTGATCAATTCGTGATTTCCTTTGTTAGGAACGCAAAACCCGATCTACTCATTCTCGTTTCAGTGTGTGAACGGTCACCACTGTGGACAGGGCAGACGTACAAAAAAGTGTTATGATCGGTCGTCCGAAATGTGAGCGATGTTGCCGGATCTCGGAAGCTAAGCAGTGTTTTTGGGCCTGCATACACTCGTGTGACAGGCTGCCTGGGAGCACCAAGTGTTTTCGGCATGGGCTGTTAGGTAACCAGGAGATGGCAGCAGAGAAATTGATTCTTGAATCTATCTGTGAGGAGCTCTGAGTGCTTCGGGCTTCCTCCCATGTACCAAACAATCAAGAATGCAGTTGGATAAACATCTCAATGTACAGGGATCTTCCCGATAAAAATAACAAAAACACTCTTGAGACTCGGGGGAGGCCCTTCTTTTGTAAATAAGGTGTTATCAAATATTATTATTATTACAATATTAGTTCATCCAAGCAATGACAGAAAAAATGTTTCTGACACTTATATCTGAATTGCATGGTTGAGCCCAACTCATTCAACATCACACTTTTAAATGTTGGGGGCTTCCCTTCAACTGGAACACATTTCACATGAGACAGTTTGGATAGATTTTATTTATTTTACTTATTCAAGCAGGAAGGACCCAATGAATTTATGAATTCAATCGGTCACAAAATACACTCATAACGGCGAAACAGATCCATTTGCCGTTGTCTCGGAACAAGTTATTAGCGTATGAGCGTCTGGCAGCGTCAACATACGCACGTAAAAGTAGCCGCAAAAAAAATGCCCGCTTGTTTGTGCCAACTGCGAGCATATTACATAAAAAACTATTCGCAAGTTTAATTACGCAATTAACAAATTATCCACGACGAAAATCAAAGAGTGCAGACGGCTGCACGCCAACGCGGAGATAACTGCACTGCGAGTTCACGCTTCACCCAATGGGCCGCGCAAACGACGGTATTTTTTTTTTAATAAGTTGTAATTTCCACGGCTCGTCTCCGCTGGACATTTTAATCGATAGCCCTGAGCCTCTGTGGCCGTAGACAACCCACCTAGCCCCTCTGACACACACACACACGCATACACAGACGTACGCACACACACACACGGACAGACAAGAGTCAGACGGTGCACACACACGCATACCTATGCCAAACAAGCGTTGCCAGGTGACTGCACAAATCTGAAGGATGCGTGACAAAACGGGGCTGCAAATAAAAACAAAAGATAAAGGTGCTGCCCTGAAATTTCTTGCTCATGCCACTGCTGGCAGAAGGTCCTTCACGTGAAGTGGCTTGGTGAGTGGTTGGTTTAGTGGGTGGGTTGGTGGGGTGGGTTGGTGGGGTGGGTTGGTGGGTGGGGTGGCTTGGTGGTTGCATGTTTGGATGGGTGGCTGTGTGGTTGAGTGAGTGATTGAGTGGGTGTGCGACTGGTTGGGTATGTGATTTAGTGGGTGGTTGAATAGGTGGTTGTGTGCATGACTGAGTGGGTGGGTGGCTGGTTTGGTATTTGGATGAGTGGGTGGTTGGTTGAGTAGGTGCTTGTATAGGTGCTTGAGTGGGGGGGTGGGTGGCTGGTCGGGGATTTGGATTAAAGTGTGGGTGGGTGGGTGGTTAAACGAGTCAGTGGGTGGTTGTGTGGTTGAGTGGGTGAGTAGGACTGGTGGCCGCCTGATCATCCAGGTGCACAGAGGAGACTTTATCCCCCGTGGCCTCTCCCCTGCCTTAATCTGCGCGCGGCGAGGATGCTAATCATGACAGCGATATCAATTATGGGGCAGTTGAATTTGGGGCTTCTGTCATCCCCTGCTCATCTGGTGCAACTGGTGTGGTGGCCAGGGTGATGGGAGGGAAGGGAGTGGGTGATGGGGGATGGTAGGAGGGGTGGGGGGGGTAAGCGCAGTGGTGGGGGTCATCCCGGGTGCACAGGTGCAGTTTCCTGTTCCAAAGGTCTGGCGGCTCCTGGTAGACATGTGGGTGTGTGAATGTCTGTCAGAGTGTGTGTCAGTGTGTGGGGAGTGGTGGTGCGGTAGTTAGCGCGCTGCGCTACGAACACGGGAGACCCGAGTGTGATTCCCGCTCACGACCAACACCGGTGACGATTATCTTAACTGGTTCTGGGTCTCCCCTAGGTCGACTCAGCCTCAAATGAGTACTTGGTGTGACGTGTAAATATCACCACTTGGGAGACAAAGGCAGCCGGGCGTGGTGCTGGCCACCCACCCTCTCGAGTGCTGTGCTAGACTTCAAAGGCGCCCGCTAACAAGCACTTGCCCCAACAGCCTGTTAAGACTATACGGGGGATCTTTGTCTTTATTCCTTTACAAATGAGATAACAAGTACACATTTAAATAAATCTATCTACGGGTAAGTTTGTCCGTAAAATGTATTATGACGGGATGTATTGTTGCACTCAGCAGGAAACAACAGTTGCTCGAGGACAACGCACGCGCAGGTGCGCGACCTCTGTACAGACGGGTCAGCGACCTGGCTTGATGTGCCGTCTCCTACAACAAGCGCTGCCATCGCCGGCCCGGAGGAGGGTGTCCACTAACACCCACCTTCGAGCCTTCCGATCGCAGGTGTGCCCTTGTCGCCACAGTCGCGGCGTATCGACGTACGCTGCTGTCGCTCGTCGTCACAAGCGATGCGCCGGATTGAAAACGCATTTCTTCAAAGCTGCTTTTTTGTGTTTAGCACGATTGGCCACGTACGGTGCGTAAGAAAGACGTTCACCATACATACATACACACATGACGACGGGCGATGGCTAGAGATGCGGTCCAGGACGGAGGACGGCGAATTACCGAGACAGACACATTGAAGCGGCGCCCCATCGGTCAACATTCGACAAAGGAGAAGATCTAAGCCAGATGGCGGGGTTGAGGCTTTATACCACTGGTGCTTGCAGGACGTATCGACGGGCAACAAGGGAAAGATCTACAGGCAGATGTAGGCGTTGAGACTGTATACCACTGGTGCTTGCAGGACGTGCCAACAGGCAACAAGGGAAAGATCTACAGGCAGATGTAGGCGTTGAGACTGTAGTAGCGGTCATTGTAGGACGCATGAGCTGAAAGACCGAGAACCATACGGTGGTGGTGGAGACGAGGCTATAAGAGCAGACCTTCAAGGCCGGTCGTTGAACGTTCAACAAACTGTGGAATCTATCAGGAGGAAGCAAGGGCGAGGTGTGGTGACACTGACGGCATTGACTGCGATTACCGCTGCACCTTGAATGCTGTCACACTCTATAAAAAATATATCAACAATTTACAAGCCTTTGCAGGCTGCCGATGAAGGCCGGAACATATCGGGTCACGGGAGTTGTTTGAGCAAACCTCGCACGTGCTGTTCAGCGTGGGTTGGTGACCGGTTCTCGTATCACGCTCAAAAGATATCAGCCATGGCTGGGAATCGAACTCGGGTTGACACCTTCACCACCGGTAACCACCGCTGCGGCCTCCCGCAGCCACGCAGTCAAGACGCGCAAACCAAATCCCCGCTGCAACGACGCGCAACCCAAATCCCCGCACTCACGACGAGCAACCAAAATCCCTGCGGCCACGACGTACGAGCGCACACGCTCCACTCGCAACTCATCCCGACTCACCCATCTGCTCGACGATGTCGGGAGGGAAGACGCGGGATGCGAAGGCCCGCCGGAAGATGTCGGAGAACTCTCGGTCGAGACCACCGATTCCCATCTTCTCAAAGTTCCAGTCCGGGTTGATGATCGACTGCCGACCCTGCTTGGTTTTGGATTTTCCTGCAATAATAAAAAAAAACGCAAAAACGGCGAGCGAGGATCTCAAATCACAGCCAGGGAAATGCGCAAGCACACGCCACAATGACAGCGAATATTATAATTGGCAGTTTTTAAAGTTCATTTGAGTAAAAAAAAGGACAGTGGCAACAAGTTCGCTGACAAGTTAAAAATAAACACAATAATAATAGTTGATTTCTCGGCCACTGCGGCGGTGGTAAAACGCGTGACTTGACGAACCCGCAGCTCCTGCCGCTGGTGGCTGCTGACACCTGCTGGCTGTCGGTTTGAATGGAGCTCACCGACCGCTTTTTTGCTATGCTTGGGAAATGTTACCCCTGTCCATTTGCCCGTCGCCATGAAACTTACCGTGCAGCTTAGTCATACTAATGCTCGACGAACGGCTGAACAACAATATGCTTGACACAAAAGCATTTTTCAAGACTATGCTGTGTATCCGCACAATAGGTGTGCCAGTGTTAGACTGCATGAGCGTGGAGTCCAACAGAATAGAAGCTCCTCTTAAAGGCCAGGCATGTTAGAGCTCGTTTAGGCTAATGTACATGTATGTACATGTAAACGAGGGTCTCCCACGTGCCGCGCGGGTCAGGGGGTCGTATGACCATACTTCACCACGCTGGTCAGTCGGTTGGTGAAGGCAAAGAGCATAGATGTGGGAGCTACACGCCTGAACTCATCACATATCTGAAGCTACTCCAGGGTAGCTTCCGAGATCTTTGCCTGGACGGATGGGCGACCACGCACAAAACAGGCTGTTGTAGTCTGCGGGGTGACTTCACACAGCACGTGGCGATTGACCTCAATCAATCCTTACTGAGGCAATGCAATGCACGTATCCCAGGTGTTAAGAATCGGTTATAACTGACGAATCGATGCATCGCTACACGCCTGCTATTTACATTCTGGATAAGGCCATTTCATTCTTTGCCATCATCTTCCAACTCGTCTTTTAAGAGCTTGTATCTCGGATGCGTGTACATATGCATCTGCCCAAGGCTGGGAACGAAAGAGCGAAACGGATCTGTGAATGAATTGCGCAAGACGAGGCTGGGAATGAACGAGCAAACCGCTCTTTGAATGATCTGCGAACGGATCCGTGAATGATTTGCGCGAGACAAGAGGACGCAGCGGCATCGTCACCCGTCAAGTTGAGATTCGAGTTCTCCGCCTTCTCAAAGATCACTTGCGTGTTCTGGTAGCTGACGCCCGTCAGGATCTGAGCACAGAGCGGACATGACAAGCACTTTGTCAAGGGCCATGGACACGCACCCCGTGGCAATTTCAGCGCAATCGATCATTGCTGGCGATCGTCACCGGCAACAGCTGCCGATCCCGTCCGCTGCCGGGAGAAAATCTAAGTTGCCAAAATGTTCCCCGAGTTCAACAACTGCGATGGCGACCTTCCGCAGAGACATTACCGAGGCATGAGGAGGCCCAGTCGGTGGAAGCCGCGCGCTACGCACGCACAATTGAGTCCTTTTAGCCCTTTAAAATGACGATTTGCATTTTTATTTTTATTGGTGGAAATATTTTACGGTTCAGGAGTCAGCGGTCAGGTGCTGGGGGTCAGGGTTCATGCTTGGGACGCCTGTCGTCAAAATGTTTTATATTCAGTGGGGCGATAGTTTGGCGGGTCAGAGTTCACAGTTTACAGTCGTAGGGTGATTGTTTCGTGAGTTCTCATTTTGAGTGGGGGTCACAGGGGAAGGGGGGAGGGAGGTATTTTTTGGTCATTGTTGAGGTTGCCCATCCAGGATTAGGTGTCATGTGGGTTCAGACGCACGGCTTTGGGGACGATAATGGTGTAGAGCAGCGGCAAGGAACCTCGTCATTCCCGAGGGCTGCGTAGGACCTTTAGTGGGCCAACTATACGTCAAAAACAAAGATCCGCCGCATAGCCTTTAAGAGACTGTTGGGGCAAGTGGTGTTAGCAAGCACCTATGAAGGCCGGCTTGGAACACGAAGGGGATGGGTGGCCAGCACGACGCCCGGCCACCTTTGTCTCCTCAGTGGCCGATGTTTACACACTGCACCAGGTACTCATTTAAGGCTTAGTCGTCCTAGGGGAGGCCCAGGACCGGTTCTGATAATTGTCACTGGTGTTGGCCGTGAGCGGGAATCGAACTCGGGTCGCCGGGTTTGTTGCGCAGCGCGCTAACCGCTACACTACTGCTACCCAACCACAAGTCAACACACAAACACACAGACTTGTCACTTCTGTAATCGCAACATGTCCATTGCAACGATAAAAGTGACTTGAGCATGCAATAAATTATCAAGACAGCGTTGCCAGGTCGGAAATATTCACCTATATATAGCGCACGATTAACACGGTTAAATGATTTGCAGGCAGTCACGGATCAATATCACGACAGCATAGATATTGTACTTGTGCTGTACAGCGGCCCGAAACTTTTTTGGTTTGTACCGCGGCATTGTTCGGGCACGATGTCCGACGTTTTGCTCCATGTGCTGGCAGCTTCTTCAGGAACTGAATACTGAACAGAGGAGCTGAATTCGCAAGGGCCCATGACGTGGAACGGATCGTCGGCCGTCATCCTGAACAACGCACGGTACGACCGGGCAACTCTGGGATATAAATAGCTGTTTCAAAGCAGAAGGCCTCATGTAAACCACGGACTGCATGAAATGAAGTCAATGGCCACATAGGGCCCCAACTGTTACAGATTTCGCGCCCCTGCCTCACAGAGACAAGAACCTCACCTTGTTTTGTTTGCCGCTGGTTGCATCGCCCTTGAGGATATTTGGGTCCACGGCCTCAATTCCCTTCACTATCAGCCCAAACAGCTTTCCGGCAAAGCTGAACACAAGCTGCGGACGCACAGTGGGTTTAAGGTGGTCGTTAATTACGCGCGTGCAGAGCAAACAAAAGGCAGAGCAGCACCGCGCGCTAGTGGCCGAGCAGCACGCATCAATCAGCGCGCCGCCGCTCGTAAACGCCGCCGCCCCACGACGGTCGGCAGCGACGGTGGCAGGGGCGGCGGCGGCAGCAGCATCACGCTCACGCACAGCCGGGAGCAGTCAGAGCCAAATTATCCCCGAGAAGAGACCGGGTAACAAGCGCATGCCTCACGTTCATCATCGCCGCCGTCAGCCACACTCAATCCACTGGTGGATGAAGGCCTCCTCCCCAAGCTGCCACCACCTCAAACAATGCTGTGATGTCATAATGTGCCAAGTGCCTCATGACGTGAGCCGATTTCGTTGGTCACTTTTAGTGCTCAGGTTTTTTTTTTTTTCAAACGAGCCACAATAGCAACAACGCTTATTTCAAAACATGGATGGTGTTTAAACGCTATGACCGCAACCACAGCTTAGTCCGCTACAACCCCAACCATGTAGCCTTAACAGACTGTTGGGGCAAGTGCTGTTAGGGAGCATCTATGAAGGCCGGAATGGCACACGAGGAGGTGGGTAGTCAGCACCACACCCAGACGTCTTTGGCTCCCCAGTGGCGATGTTTACACACTGCACCAGGTACTCATTTTAGGCCGAGTCAACCTAGGGGAGGCGCAGGCCCAGTTTAGATAATAGTCACCAGTGTCGGCCGCGAGCGGGAATCGAATCCAAGTCGCCGGGTTCGTAGGTCATTGTGCTGACCATTACACAACGCAGTCACACCTGTTGGCCCACGCTGAACGACTGGCTGATGAACTGGCCAACAAAGTCCGTGGCCATTTTGTCCGAGTCGTAGGGATTCGAGTCGGCCGTCTTCTTCTGCAGGAAGTCGACCTCGATGGTCATGGTGCCGATGCTGTTCTTGGTCTTGTCAAACTCAAACGGCTCCACTGGGGAGAGGACAGCGAGGGAGGCGAGGGAGGAGAGGGGAGGGAGGAGAGGGGAGGGAGGAGAGGGAGGGAGATTACACTCGCGACCGAGCAGGACCAGGGTGGCTCATAAACTGGAGTAAGAGGCACGTGACTAGTAACCACAGCCATAGCGAGCTGTATACTGGAGGTATACTGGATGCGGTGTGCCGGGTGTGGAAATATATTACAAGTGGGCAGTCCGAGGCGTTTGTGCGCGATGCCCTGCTGGTTGCAACAATCGCTTGTTCAATAATTTACCGACCAGGCGGTAATGTGGTGATGGTGAATGATTACTCCTCAGAAATGTCAGAATTCGTATTTATATATTTCTACTTTTTTATACTTTTAGTCCGAATTGCATTATCAGCGTCATGTCTTGAGATGAACAACCCATTCAGATTTCTCGCTGAGCAATGCAACTCTCTGTTGTAGACAACGGCTCACAGAAGTAGACATCACAGAACTACTTCTGAGATCCCTTCAAGTGAACCTCTCGTCCGTACAGTAGGGAGAAGCACTTTCCCACTCACTTTGAAGAATGTCACATTTTTATTTATAAGAACTGGAATTTAGCCACGTTAAATTCAATCCAAATATAGTGCGATTTGATTAATTTGGCAATCGGGTCGAGACCATCATCACCTCACTCCACTTGAGAGAATTTGGGTTTAATTGCAGGCAGCCGCGGATACATACCAAGGACCTACTCAATCACGCTGTCACCTTCTGGAAGGTCGGGAATCCGAACTTCCAGTTAATTTTTCACAAACACAATTTCACGCATGTGTCGCGAACTCAATAATCAATTTTATTCCACACAAAGTTTATCTGGGGGTGGGAACGCCTCCCAACAAGACCACGTATAATCCGGATCACGATACCGGTATTGACCATCGTGCCACCACAAATCCCGATACTTCCGGGTCCTGACCGCACGCCCCACGTCGCATAATGATGGCCAGATGTTAACTACCTTCCCTGGTATACAGGAGGTCGTGGATTCAATCCCAACCCTCATGCCTGTATATATGGAGTTTGCATGTCTCTCTCCCCACTGTCGCGTGGATTTTTCTCCAGATCCTCCGGTTTTTCCTTCCACATTTAGAATCAACATGCATTTAGAGTATTTGGGTGCTATATAGCTCAGTGGACCTTACCTGGTAAAATAAAACATAGTTAAGTTTTTTTAAACGGTCGCAAGGCGCCACACGTGATGTGAAATACGCCGGCTATTATTGCTGTTATTATTATAACGCTTATTTATACAAGAAAAAGCTCAAAGATTCTCAAGACTCTTTTTCCGGAGGATCCTGCTAGGTTTTCGTGGACGGTGAACGTCGATTTCTACGTGTTTTTCCGATAAAGTAATTTTCCAGTAGTTTTTTTCTCAAATTTCAAAATTTGCACCATGACGCAGGCACGCAATGGCCTAGGCTTTTTCGAATGATGTCACGGAGCTCTTTCACGTCCACTGTGATGCAGATGGTGCATGTTATTTTACAGTTGATACACAGTCACAGCATTAACCGGGGTGGCCCGTGAGGGTTCGAATCACGAACCTCTGCAACAATTGCCGAACGCACTACAGCTGGGCCAGGTCCAACACTTCACGTGACCAGTCACCCCTCTTGCTGTCACGGTTCGGGACTGTGATTTGACTCAAGATTTTTATCGTCTCATTTTGCACCTCCTGATGTAGACTAGTTCAGAAAGCCACTCGCCACTTGTGTCAGCCGCGACAGGGAATCGAAACTGAGGTCGGCGGGTTCACTGCGTAGTGCTTGAACCGCTCGGTATTTTTACGGAGGACAAAAAAAATTGAGAATACCTTGCACATCTTGTCCCAGTGACAACCCTGCCCATTTCCTCTGTAAAACCACAAGAAACAAATTACAATAATTATCATTACAATATTGCATGTGGCTCGATACAAATGATAGCAGTCTGGATAATTGTTTTGGACGTGAAGTTAGGTTCAAAAATTACTGAGTAGAAACACTTCCACATCTTGTCAACATCGCGCAGTGTCCTAAATAAAAGCTCACTTGCTCACAACACAAACAATATGGATTAATTTATCGCAAAATGAATGCACAGGGTGAGCGAGGTTCCTGTTTTGGCGGACCGCCACTTAAGACTGGTAGAATCAGTGTTCAAATAAGCTACATACTGAGCATTTCACACATTATAAACATACGAATTATGTGCTATGTTTAAATTTAATGCGTACTAAGCCGCATGGTTATTTTGCCGTGCAGCTTTACTCTTCGTTTTAGAAAATGTTTTATTCACAGATCTTGTCCTGATGACTTCCTGGATCTTGTCCCGATGACGTTCGACGCACTATCAAATGAAACGTCGTATCTCAATTGACTAAATTTGTATTCTTGGTTCTTTCGGTAAAGTCACGTAGAAGGGAAATAATAAAATAACGTTGGGAGATTTTTTAGGCTTTATTATTATTTTATTATTTCCCTTCTACGTGACTTACCGAAAGAACCAAGAATATGAATCCTTGCAGTCACGAAAGCTTTAAATCGAAATTTGACTAAATCTGGTTTAATAACAATGAGCGCAGTAAACGCTGGCACGCGCAATGGTTGAATCTGTTTGGTTGCTTTGGGTGCTGGCAGGGCCTTAACGACGCAACATTTTGTCAGATCATTCACAGTGGCCGAAGCCCCACAAAATAAATACTTGGCAATCAGTTTTGAGTTCGCGTGACAAAGAAAAACTTGAGCGCCCGCCTGCCCATGGGCTGGGGAGGGAGGGGTCACCGGTGCCTGTGCTGGCGCTTACTTGGGGTAGGCTGAAAGCGATGGTCCCTGGCACTACAGAGTGATGGCTCTTCAGTGTGAACACGTAGCGTTGCCCTGGGCCCGTGATCACCGCCACGTGACTGAGAAGAGAAGGGGGAAGCGTGATTTCCTGCTCAAATGAGCATCGAGGCGATGATAGCCTTCTGTAAACAGCCCTGCGCCAGTTGTGCAAAATCCACATTCATATGGTGGGGGCGAGTCTATCCGTAGGACAACCCATGTTTACTTCTCCGTAAAGTGCTACTGATGTGATTGAGATGATGGGCTGAGTAACCTGCCAGCTAGGATCTGAATTTTCCGATTGTGAGCTGCTCTCTGGCCAGGTGACACAGCACAAAAAAAAACAACAAAAATATTCATAAATTGTCTGAGCTAAGAGCTCTGACTTCTACTTTTATTTTGCCAGATACTTTTGCTTCCATTGCAGGCATTGTTGTGTTTTTAGTTACATTTTGTGTTTAAAAAGACCTGAATACTGCGGATGGAATTAAATCAATCGGCATGGAATCAATCAGTACAGGTTGGAATCATAAAGCACCTAAATGGGGGCCACATCTGAAGCTGCTATGCAATTGGGGAAAATGAGTGAATCGAGAATGTGTGAAGATTTCTTGTACAGGCCAGGGAGGGAACCGAGACCAGATTGTGGTAGACATGCGAATGACACTTCAAATAGACACTTCATGGGCAGGAGGTCACAAGGGAATGTACGCACCGTCTCTTTCACAGTGGACGTTAAAGACCCTGTAGCATCATTCACACGTGTGCTGGAGTCATGGTCCAACATAGGCAAAATTTGAAAATATTAAAAGTAGATTTCTAACCAGGTAATACCGCATAGCAACATCGTCCCCTACTGGCAGATCCAATTGGATTTAACACTTAGGCTTTCGCGACCAATATCATTCATGAGTTTTTTTTGGGTAAGATCGCGTAAACGTGTCGTTAACCCAACACCACCTGACACAGCCAATTAGTAAGGTTTGTCACGTAAACAAAACGTGTCATTTAGTAACTACTTCAGCAAACCGGTGTGTTGGAGAGTAAACCCACAACAATTCGAGTACGACATTTCACTGGTGATTACAACCAGCTCCATCAGGCGATTTTGCCAGAATGTGAAGAAGTCTTACTGTTTCCGGTCTTAAATTAGAGTAAGGCGATCGCATCACTGTGAGATCATAAAGGGGTTAATGTGATCATATTAATTACAATGTATTGTTAATCTGAGAATGTTCTATTGGTCTGTGAACCACAGCACTTCCGAGATACGTCTGGCATCGTAAGGATGGTGCAGACGCTGTATGCCCTCGCTTTTGCTGCGATGGAAGCGTTGCGTTTGATTCACTCACATGGACTTGAGGTCAGACTCGTGGACGACGGCGCAGTTCGTGATGGAGAGCTCGTCCGTCGGGCATCTCGCCGCTTTCATCGCCTGTGACAAAGCGAACAACAACAGCAACAACAAACATCATCAGCATCATACATCTGCCATGCTCCATCGACTGCTGGTTAAAAATGTGCACAACATTCACATCGTCAGACTGCATTCGATGTACAGAGCACGACATTCAGAATAATAATCAACAGGCATGGTCTATCCACTACTGGATGAAGAATCACTTCCAACAGCACCGGTCTCTCCAATGCTGTTTGATGGCCTCATCGTCACCACCCTCACTCGCATCATGTTATCCATGTTCTATCCTCTGATGGTTGAAAGTATTCCCATGCTGTAGTTATCCTCAATGGTCCTGCGATGGCAAAATCTGAACTGACATCATCGCTCCATCTCCATGAGGCTCGCCTTAATTAGCTGTGTAGACAACACCTCATAGCTAACTACATAGTTCATGGGGCATTCGTCTAACAGGCGTAGACGCACAGCAACAACTACAATTTGACATTCAGGTTGGTCAAGCCAGACAACTGCGTCAGGAGCAGCAGTGTTTCACTGTCGTATATATTCTCATATTCTTTGGTCTTTCAGTATTTGTGGATCGGGGCGTTGCATCGTTATACGTTGTACGGTCCTGCTCTGGATGACCACCGTCGCACTGAAAACGCAGGAATAACAATGCCTATGACCAAAACCACCTGTAATGCGCTCGATCTTGGACCCTAAGTTGGGGATGGGTACGGCCACCAACAGTGCATACAGCACGGTGCTGTAGGCTGATGCGTAGTTCTACTGCCAGCAGAGGTCACTGCAGAAAAAAATCGACAATGTGCATCCATTTCCCCTCACCCAACCCACCTTGACCACCACCAAGAGTGGTGAAGTATGGTCAAACACCACCCCCCCCCACACCCAAATCCGCTCCTACGACCGACAGCAGTGGAATTAAAAAGGGCTGGACATTGCTAATCGTTGTTATATTTATTGTAACGTCACGTCCACATCGGCGGCGAGTGATATCCGAACGGGCCTTGGACCACCCCTCTCCTCTGATCTTCTTCACAAGCCGATACGTGAGCTATGCTGCTGCTGCTGTCACGCGATATCGAGCGCGGCACCGTCCCCCACTATTCTCTTCTGTTTCTGATTTATTTAGCGACCTTTGTAGGTCACGTGTCATTCAAACACACGTCAGCGGGCGGATACACTCGCCTTTGGGTTACTCTTGTTACAATCTCGATTTGAAGCTTTCGTGACTGCAGGAATCCCATACCCTTTGGTTGTTTCGGTAAAGCCACGTGGGTAGAAAAATAAAATAAACCACGACGTTTCGGGCGCAACGCAAGCAAGCGTCCGTCATCAGGTGCGAAAGCCATGGTAACGCTGCTGAGGCAGACTCTTGTTACAATGTTTATCATCGGTGTTTTTTGTTTGTTTGTTAATTACAGCAGCACTCCCTCCCTCCGCAACGTCGCCAACGCGGACGGAAGCCGCCGATTTGAAGTGCTCGCAACTCCAATAACGAAAACTAGAGCACGGGCCAGGTCATGCCCCGCGCGATATTCGCGTTGACAAGAATTCCGTCCATTCATAAGCAGTTTAACACGTGGCAGGCTTTCGCGACCAATATTATTCATAATAAAGGTTTTTTGGGTTAGATCGCGTTGTTTATAAATGTGTCGTAACCCTCCACCACCCGACACGGCCAATCAGCAAAAAAAGTGTCACGTTGACAAAAGACAAATAGTTCACTACTTTAGCCGCCCACCGGTGTGTTGAAGAGTGAATCCACAACATTTACAGTTTTGAGTACGACGTTTCGCTGGTAATTCTAGCGAATTGCCCGATGATGCTGCGAAACGTCGTATTCAAACTGTAAATGTTGTGGATTCACTCTTCAACACACCGGTGGGTGGGCTAAATTAGTGAACTAATTGTCTTTTGTCAACGTGACACTTTTTTGCTGCTTGGCCGTGTCGGGTGGTGGAGGGTTACGACACATTTATAAATAACGCGATCTAACCCAAAAAACCTTTATCATTCATAAGCACGTCAGCAAACGCGAGCAAACCGATTCGATCCGGCCCAGCGGATCTCTCCGCGACAAATACATTTTTTAACGTGTATATATTTCAGTGTAAATAGCATTATTATCGTCACGTTATCGTTGTGACAGGTGACAAAAAAAGTCTTAAATTGTGTAACGAGAGGAGCGCCGAGCCGACACTCACCCGGGGCGCCATGTTTTTCCGCAGTGCGGTAGTGGAAGGAGCGCCACGTGACCGCGTGACGTCGGCCACGGGGAGCTCCTCCCCTGCCCCGCCCCCTCGCCGGGGTCCACGAGTTCGATTCCCGCCCCCGGGGGGTGCATGGCAGCAATATATTTTAAAATGATTTCTGTTTTTAATTAATAATTCTAATTAAATTTTGATTTAAAGCTTTCGTGACTGCAGTGATTTATATTCTTGGTTCTTTCGGTAAAGTCACGTTGAAGGGAAACAATAAAAAACATAAAAATATTTTATTGTTTCCCTTCAACGTGACTTTACCGAAAGAACCAAGAATATAATTATAATTAACTCATATAACATACTGATTTGTTTAGTGTATAGGGCGTATGTAACATTTTATATTAACTGATGGAAAATAATAAGTACGTTTAATGTGTTTGGTACGGTATCGTACGTACGATGCATCAGAATCAGAATCTTTGTTTAAGCTGGAGAAATCCGATGAGCTATGAAGCTCTTTTCCACAGGCGTCCAATAGCAGCACAAAGAGAAACATCCCCCGTATAGGCTTAACAGACTGTTGCTTGCAAGTGCTGTTATCGAGTAGCACCTATGAAGGCCGGCACAGTAACACGAGAGGTGTGGGTGGCCAACACCACGCCCGGTCGCCTTTGTCTCCCCAGTGGCAATGTTTACACACCGTATTAGGTACTCATTTGAGGCTGAGTCGACCTAGTGGGATGCCTAGGACCGGTTCAGATAATCGTCACTGGTGTTGGCCGTGAGCGGTAATCGAACTCGGGTCGCCGAGTTCGTAACGCCGCGCGCTAACCACTGCTCCACCGCTCTCCAGATACAACAACCGCCATTCGCCACTAAGTGGCGGTGACGTCACCACGACGCTTGTGCCAGGCTATGTGCACCTTGAGGCCACGTGAAGTGTCGAACGCCCGCTGGCAGGAGGTCACACGGGACAGACCCAAATGCCATGGGTCGACTGACTGAGATGACTGGCCGATGCACCACCTGTACCCCCTACTGTGCCAACTTGCTGTGCTTTATCCATAAGGTGACAGCAGTTGTTGTTGGAGGGCGACTGCCTCCAACTGCCCAGTAGCGTCCTTCACGAGCCTCCTCCAGAGAAGTCGATTTTGACACTGCTGGTACCAGTCATCGGCAAGTCCACTCAGCTACACGTCCTCCTGTACCACATCACTCCATCTCTTCTCTAGCCCGTGCCGCGCCCGTTTAGCCCTTCTATCCTGCTGAACAAAAGCTGTTTAGGCATGCGGTAGCTGGGCGTGCGGGCTACATGATCCAGCCAATGCAACCTTGCCTGCTGGAGGAGCTCACCGATGAGGCTTTGTCCAGATCTTTAAAGATTTTGTGAGCTCCTCACAATCCAGCCTGCAGGTTAAACCCAGTGATCGTAGGCAGGCCAGCCTAAATGTTTCTAACCGGCGAAGATGTTCCGTTAGGGGGGTCCACGTTTCGCAAGCATAGAGAAGGAAGGGGATGACCGTGGCTGAGAAGACCCAAAGCTTCGTGTGGAGCGACAGACCAGGTAGCTTCCACACAGCGTTACACAGCCGATTATTCGGACTGAGACTTCTGCTGTCAAACTTGAGCTGGTCATGAGCACACTGCTCAGATATCGAAAACTTTCCACTTCACTACTGCCCCATCACTAATTGGGAGTTATGGGTGTCCAATGGTACAAAATACCAGGCAGGTGCTTAGTTTTGGTGGGGCTGATGGTAAGGCCCCTCGTAGTGGCACGCTCCAAGGTTCAGCAGCAGTGCTTCCAACTCCTCATCTGAGTGAGCAGCAATTACCAGATCATCGGTATACGTAACATGGTTGACCAATAGGGAGCCATCCCTTGACCGCACCCGGGCATCGATTAGCCTCCCATTGTAGCTGCACCAGATGGAAATTCAATCGGTACAGCGATTGAAGGCTTCATGAACTACGTGGTCAAAATAGATGTTAAATAACGTGGGATCCAGAGGACATCCCTGTCGCACCCCAAGGTGAAAAGGGAATGGCTCCGACTACCGCCACGTATTTTTACCCGGGCCTGCTTATCACCATGAAGGTCCTTAATGATTGTGAGAAGTTAGATACCAGCACACACACACACAAACAGGGGCGTAACTATGGTTGGGGGTATGCGACAGAGTTATGCGACTCACAGGGGCCTAGTCGGCCACACGGAGGCCCCGAATCAACAGATAAACAAGTACAGGGACTGCACTACTTACGAACGAGTTAGGTTCCAGAGGTCTATTCGTAAGTTGATTTGTTCGTAAGTCCAACTTTACTCCTGTCGATTCCAAACACGTTCGGTGTGTACACTGAACATCGGGAGTGGCTTTAAAAGTTGCATAATCTCCTGTACAGTGAGGGAAAAAAAGTATTTGATCCCCTGCTGATTTTGTACGTTTGCCCACTGATAAAGAAATGATCAGTCTATAGTTTTAATGGTAGGTTTATTTGAACAGTGAGAGACAGAATAACAACAACAAAATCCAGATAAACGCATGTCAAAAATGTTATAAAGTGATTGGCAATTTAATGAGGGAAATAAGCATTTGACCCCCTCTCAATCAGAAAGATTTCTGGCTCCCAGGTGTCTTTTATACAGGTAACGAGCTGAGATTAGGAGCACACTCTTAAAGATTAGGAGCACACTCTTAAAGGGAGTGCTCCTAATCTCAGCTTGTTACCTGTATAAAAAACACCTGTCCACAGAAGCAATCAATCAATCAGATTCCAAACTCTCCACCATGGCCAAGACCAAAGAGCTCTCCAAGGATGTCAGGGACAAGATTGTAGACCTACACAAGGCTGGAATGGGCTACAAGACCATTGCCAAGCAGCTTGGTGAGAAGATGACAACAATTGGTGCGATTGTTCGCAAATGGAAGAAACACAAAATAACTGTCAATCTCCCTCGGCTTGGGGCTCCATGCAATTTCTCACCTGGTGGAGTTGCAATGGTCATGAGAACGGTGAGGAATCAGCCCAGAACTACACAGGAGGATCTTGTCAATGATCTCAAAGCAGCTGGGACCATACTCACCAAGAAAACAATTGGTAACACACTACGCCGTGAAGGACTGAAATCCTGCAGCGCCCGCAAGGTCCTCCTGCTCAAGAAAGCAATATACATGCCCGTCTGAAGTTTGCCAATTAACATCTGAATGATTCAGAGGACAACTGGGTGAAAGTATTATGGTCAGATGAGACCAAAATGGAGCTATTTGGCATCAACTCAACTCGCCGTGTTTGGAGGAGGAGGAATGCTGCCTATGACCCCAAGAACACCATCCCCACCGTCAAACATGGAGGTGGAAACATTATGCTTTGGGGGTGTTTTTCTGCTAAGGGGACAGGACAACTTCCCCGCATCAAAGGGACGATGGACGGGGCCATGTACCGTCAAATCTTGGGTGAGAACCTCCTTCCCTCAGCCAGAGCATTGAAAATGGGTCGTGGATGGGTATTCCAGCATGACAATGACCCAAAACACACGGCCAAGGCAACAAAGGAGTGACTCAAGAAGAAGCACATTAAGGTCCTGGAGTGGCCTAGCCAGTCTCCAGACCTTATTCCCATAGAAAATCTGTGGAAGGAGCTGAAGGTTCGAGTTGCCAAACGTCAGCCTCGAAACCTTAATGACTTGGAGAAGATCTGCAAAGAGGAGTGGCACAAAATCCCGTCTGAGATGTGTGCAAACCTGGTGGCCAACTACAAGAAACGTCTGACCTCTGTGATTGCCAACAAGGGTTTTGCCACCAAGTATTAAGTCATGTTTTGAAGAGGGGTCAAATACTTATTTCTCTCATTAAAATGAAAATCAATTTATAACATTTTTGACATTAAAAATTTCTGGATTTTTTTGTTGTTATTCTGTCTCTCACTGTTCAAATAAACCTACCATTACAATTATAGACTGATCATTTCTTTGTCAGTGGGCAAACGTACAAAATCAGCAGGGGATCAAATACTTTTTTCCCTCACTGTAGATGTAGATGCCACTGGTTCTCACGTTCTGCAGATGTAGATGCCACCGCAGTCATCTATTGCGTGGCGAATGAACTTACGTCTCTCGGTCTGAAGAGGCAACTGAACCATACGGACAGGTTTGTTCGTATCTCTCAAAATTCGTAAGTCGAATGCTCGTAAGTAGAGGAGTCCGCTTACAGTAAAACATATCAACACAAAATATTCACATTTTCTTTTTATGTCACTGTGAGTTTAACATGTAGGCTTTCGTGACTAATGTCATCCATAATACTGATTATTTTGGGTTAGATCGCGTAAATATATAAATGTGTCGTTAAACTCGTCACCACCCGACACAGCCAATGAGTAAGGTTTGTTACGTAAACAAAACATGCCAATTCGTTACTAGTACAGGACACCGGTGTGTTGGAGAGCCAACACACCGCATGTGTTGCGATCGAAACGTCGTGATCTATTAATTTTCTATCTACGTGACTTTACCGAAAGAACCAAAGAGTATGGATTCCTGCAGTCACGAAAGCTTCAAATCAAGATTTACCGCACGAGTTACCCGCGTAAGGCTGGGTCGACTTAGGGGATTCTCGTGACCGGTTCTGATAGTCACCACCGTTAAGTGGTCGTGAGCAGGATTTGAACTCGGGTCACCGGGATCGTTGCGCAGGGCGTGATCCACTACACTACGGCTCCCCACTATTACATAAACACAAAGACCCCCCCCCCTCCACCCGTTTAGCCTTATCAGACTGTTGGGGCAAGTGCTGTTAGCGAGCACGTATGAAGGCTGGCACGGCACACGAGGGGGAGGCTGGCCAACACCACGCCAGGACGTCTTTGTCTCCCGAGTGGCGATGTTTTGCACACGGCACCAGGTACTCATTTGAGGCTGAGTCGACCCAGGGGAGGCCCAGGAACCGGTTCAGATAATCGCCACTGGTGTCGGCCGTCAGCGGGAATCGAACTCGGGTCGCCGAGTTCGTAGCACTAACCGCTGCCCCCCCCCCCCGACACACACATATGTAGACGCTCACACGCACCCAAAGCACACACACACCCTTAATGTCCCAGTTAGTAT